GAATCTGGTCATGTTCAACCTTTTTCTATGCTCTGGATACATATAGAATCTTTGAACCTGTTAATACATAATATTTTGTTGTGTTAGTATGAATGTATATTAACACTGAAAACCAACCCCTTTTTTAGTTGAATCAATCTCGCTTGGCAACCACAACCAAGAAGAGAATCGAAAAGATTCTGGCCTAAACGCTCCCGTGATATCGCATAAAAATATGATTTTTCTTCTCTAAATCTGCAATAAATCAAACTAAATAAGTAGTCAAAAAAATTTAACCCCACTTGATGTTTTCTCCATGGTGTGGCTTCCCAACAAAATCTTTAAGAGTGCAACTGAAATATAAAAGACATAGTTAAATTTCAAAAGGTGTATTAGCTTCTATAAGATCCAAAATCTCATTAGAAAAAATCATAGATAAAAATTCAAAAAGAAATACTTGTGAATAAAACCATCAGGGTAAAGTTCTATCACAGTTCTAAATTTCTCATTGAATAATCAAGCCTTTTTGTAGTTCTCTTCGGTCACTTGCTTCGCCGACGCTTCGGCTGCCACCATGAAGGAAAACACTAATGGTGGTTTTCTTCGGTCACCTGATTCTTCATTGCAATCAAGAAGAAATCTAAAAATATTGAAACAAAAAACAAAACACGAGATTCATATATGATTTGTATATAAGAAATAAGAAGAATTAATATCCAGAACATACATCAAAGATGATTCAAAAACGATAGTGAAGATGTGAGTATGTGTGGGGGGGGGGGGTGGGGGGGGGATACTATGAACATTGATACATAGTGTAGGAATAAACACCTTTGTGAAAGACACACCACTTATCCACCTAAAACCTTAAGGTGATAGGTGAGTGGATTCTCCCACTTATATATGCTTAAGTCTCCACATTCTTATCCAATGTGGGACTATTTCCTCACTTACTCACACTTGCTATATTATTCCAACACTTCCCCTCAAGTGTGAGTCCACAATACTCCCTCACTTGTACCTCCATTGACAAGTGTGAGTCCACAATGCTCCCTCACTCTGTACCGTCATTGACATCTTGCAAGGGAACACCACTTCGTGGGCGCATTTTGATACAAGTCTCTTTCGGTCCCTTTCCGAACCAAAGGCTCATTATACCATGTTGGGGGGGAGATACTAGGAGCATTGATACATAGTGTAGGAATAAACACTTTTGTGAAAGACACACCACTTATCCACCTAAAACCTTAAGGTGATAGGTGAGTGGATTCTCCCACTTATATATATGCTTAAGTCTCCACATTACTATTCAATATGAGACTATTTCCCCACTTACTCACACTTGCTATATTATTCAACAGAGTAGAAATTGTTTTGATTTGGAGTTATTATAGGATGGAAGAATAAATGATAGGTAGCATGGGTAAGTACATAATAATTTAATTAGTTGAATTTGGCCAGAATATGAAAGGTTGGACTTGGACAAGCTACAATGCATTGATTAGGGCGGATTTGCATTGATAGATTTTCGGCCCTTAACAATCAAACGTGAGAATTAAAAGAGAAGATTTGATTGGGTAAAATGCAAAAAGGGTATCCTCGGTGTAGTTCCTCTCTTTTTGGGCCTCTTACCCTCCATTTCACAAAAAAATGCAAAAAGGGTTATTTAGGCTTTTCTAGATCATCTTGCCTTCTTATATGGTAGATTAAATTAATTATATTTTAAAAATATTTTTTTAAAATTTAATGGTGTATTAATGATATGAATTTGAGAGACTCAAATTAAAATTTTATTGTATCCTTTATTAAAGAACTGTCACATTTTCAATTATGAATGATTCAAATATTAAAACTCGTTATTTAAAAGAGAGATAAAGAAGACGGAAGAATGATTTTCCACCTTTTT